AGATAGATAGATAGATAGATAGATAGATAGATAGATAGATAGATAGAGAGAGAGAGATAGATAGATAGATAGATAGGTAGATAGATAGATAGATAGATAGATAGAAAGAGAGATTAGATTAGATTAGATAGAGATAGGATAGGGATAGGGATAGGGATAGGGATAGAGATAGAGATAGAGATAGAGATAGATAGAACAAATAGGGAGATAGGGAGATAGAGAGAGAGAGAGTAGAGAGAGAGAGAGAGTAGTAGAGAGAGAGAGAGGAGAGAGAGAGAGAGAGTTGGGAGCAAATCAAACAAAAGTTTACCTGCCTGGATGTGCGCTCCACCGAACCTACTGATTCTGGATGTATGTATCCATAGCATGAACAAGCACACAATTAGGTAAGAGGATCTGAAATGACTGAGTCCCTAGCGCAGCAGTGCCACAGGGCAACTGCCTCACGGGGCGCTGAACTTGGGGAAAAGGCTGCGAAGCGAGGTCCAAATTTGACAGAAGGCAAACGCTCGCTGGGCGACACACGCCAGAAGAAAGAAGATTGGCCATCTTCAAAAGCCTCTTCACTGCACGTTGAAGGAAAACACGTTTCATTGTGACTTGTTCTTCGGCATGCTCCTCCAATGTCTCCTGTCGATTTCTGTCAGTTCTTAGGTTCTGACCTTTGGTGAGTGGTACACTTTTGCACTCTCTAAGTGGTTTGAAGCCAACACTGCGACAAGGTACAGTGAACCATGCAGCAAGGCGAAAGTGGGAAGGAACTAACATCAAGCCTTCATTGATGTTCTCAGTAAAAGGAAGTAAAAGGATGATCAATGTGCACCAGAAGCTCCAACCAACGCACAGCCGGGGAGGTTCAGCGCACAAGTTGTTGAGGAACTTCAGGAACTCGTCCGGGTTCTCTGTGGCAAAGCTCTTGAGAGCTTTCTTGTGCGCCTGTCAGTACTGCGAGGGGCCGAGTGTGGCATGGGCACCAACACCAGCAGGAAGGATTGTCAGCAAAAACATGGACCTGTGACTGTGACATGTCCAAGAATCAACAAACGCACGTTTGCAGAAAAGATTCAAAAGCAACCTAACAAACGCCCTGGACTGAAGCAATCCTTCTTTGCTGAAGAGGTTTGTAGGGCATCCAAACTGGAATCTCCAAGAAAGTCTGCTTGGCTGGCCTCCAGTGGCAGCACCCGTTCAAAGAGCTCCTGGAGATGGACAGAAAGGCAACACAAAAGCGCGGCATATTACATTTGTATGTCTAGATCTTCTGGCACGAAAGCAAGGAACAATATTATTTACAGATATTGCTATTCTTTCAACAGTCTGGCAGAGCTGTTCTGAAGCGAAGAATGTGAGGGAGGGGCTTCTGATCAATGTGATTGCTGCAAAATCTTCCCATGCAACAAAGCTTTCAACTTGTCGGTCCATGATCGGAATTCGCAGTTGGTACTTCAGCTGCATCCGGATGTCATAAAACCTTGGAAAGTGAACTGCCTTTGCGGGAAAGAAAAGGCATGGAAATAACAGCAGGGTTCCTTGTTTGTGTGTATCTTGATATCCCTGTTCGAGAAACAAGTGTTTTCAGGATGTTCTTCAAATTGCTTGTTGACCGAAACTAATCCGAAGAGTGAAGAGATGTGAAGAGTGTCTCCAAATACATGTTTCACAGGCGCAGTAATGTGTTGTCACATTCTCGCTAAGCGAATGGACGACTGCTTGGTCTTTTCCACAGCGGTGAAGACTCGAATGCACCTTGCTGGCCAATGATGAGGTCTGTACTCTTTTTGTTTTGCCCACTTAATTAAGGAACTAGTAAGCTGGACTAAGTTAGCTTCGTAGGACGCAGGATAGCTCAGGCTTTAAGGAAACTCCACCGCCTGAGGGCGGGGTGAAGCTTCCTTGAAGAAGCGCTCGGATTGCTGATTTGGTTCCTAGACTTTTAGGGAAACTACTTTAACACAGTCGTGACAAAATGCTTTGGCTTTTGGCTTTTTAGAGGGCTGTGACGGTAGCTCTAGGTCTCTGCAAGACTCGAAGTGACGGTATCAGTGGGTGAAAACACAATATGGACTTGGGTAAAGACTTGATATCACCCTCTAGTCAGACCTAGAGGCTTAGAGTGAGCAGCTGAATCACCAAGACTTGGACCCTGGGACAATGTCATTCGCCAAGACTGGCGAGTTTTCCACCAGGTGGCGATAGTTTGAGTTCCTGTCAACAAATTAACAAGGAAGTATAAAGAGCCATTCATCCTACACATGTTGCAAGATCCACATGAAATGCCGTTGGGATGTATCTGGTTCTGCTAAGTCCTCCTCATGAAAAGGACTAGAGTAACTACACAAAGCATTCTCTACAAGGATCGAAACATGTTCAGCGTTCTGAGACAACATGTCAGAGCTACGCGGTCAGACCTTTCAAAAGGGTCGCTGCCTGCATACACACTTCAGAAGCCCTTACCAAGTTCAACTGTACCGAAAGCACGTGTCCCTCTTCGAGAAACAAGCACAGGCAAGGACACTGGATGATTGGATGTCTCTTGCAAGGGAAAATATACTTTATATACATATATATATATATATTTAAAAATGTATGTCGTTTTGTCAAGGACGATGGACCTTTCCACGGAGGTTGGGATTCTTCACATGCTGGCCATTGCCAAGGATGAAGGTGACCTCTTTTGGCCAACAAGCTTTGAGGCAAAGATGTTGACTGGACTTAAGCATTTCAGCCAGAAGCTTCCAAGTGCAACCTCTCCCGAGCTTGCAAGCCCCGCACCAATAGCAGCAAAAGCTGCGCGTCCAGATGCAGGAATAACTGGCTTGTGAACGTGGAGTCGGTTTGTTTAAAGGATTCAAAACAGCACGATGAAAGGGTATGGCATGACCGTCAACACCATGCAAAAAGGATCAAAAAGGACTGTTTGTTTGCCATCGGCCTCTGATGGACCTTTCCCTGGCGGCTGAATGCTCGTCACAATCTCCAAGACCTGGCGGGCGTGAGAACAAAGAACCTCAAGAACCTCTATGCCTCTATGCTATGACTCTATTGCTGGAAAACGAACACAGTGTTGGAGAGACCATTCTGTTTTTGCTTCCAATTTGTTTGAGGCCATTGCTATTAGGTTGGAGGCCATCGCTGTTAGGTTGGAGGCCATTCCTATTGGGCTCCTTTTGTTGTTTGCTTGAGTTACCATCGATTCACTGCACATCGTTTGAAGAACGCTGGTACGGTATATGCTAGTTTGCAGTAGCACTCGCTCGTCAGTACACCTGCAGCCCTGCGAACACAAATGACAGACCTCTACGATGTCCTCCAGGATGCAGGACGGTAGAACTAACCATTGAGGAGACACCTGTGGACATCAAGAAAAAATGGTAGGAAAAACAATGAAAACGTGTTTGTTTAAAAGCGAATTTCTCAAAAGCAACCATACGGTTGCTTCACAGCCGACTAAAAATCCCGCCCCAAACCTCCTCTGTTAGCACAGAGCCGAGAACTTTGCCGGCTGCAAATTCTGCTGCCTGGGCTCCAATGCTCCAACTTCTGGCACGAGGTCTTTGGCTCTTGCGACTCAAGAGTGCTTTGGAATCAGGCTTTCTCAGGAAAGGCCGCTCCCAAGCAAAAGGCCATGACCTCACATTCTGGACATGCTGGCACACGCACTACCGAGAGTATCCGCCACGTTGACTGGCCATGCGCTTCTTGAGCTGTCAACCAAGTTCAGGAAGGTCCCCAAGTCACCTGCATAACAATCATGAGAAGAATTTTGAACATCGTCCTGATTATATACAACAGCCAACCCTGCGACTCTGCCTAGGAAGGCGCTGCTGCCAAGGATTGCTTCATATACCAAGTGCTCGCCCAGTGCAGTCTGCCATAGTTCAGGAGGTTGGTTGACGGTTATAAACGCAAATTTATACCTATATATATATATGTATGTATCATATAGCAGTACAAAGGGAAACCTAGGGAGTGGAATGTCTCGAATGTCTAATGATAGTTCAATGTCAATACCAATATGCAACTATTGAGTACCGGTCCAAAGACAGGTATTCACTGTTTTCCAGGACCGTCGCACGGCCTCCATCACGGCCGGATTTTTCTGCTGAAAGAAACCAGCTGCTGCGACCATGCAAAGGTTTTCCTGAAGGTGAGGTTTTCTAGTAACTAAAAAAATTTTTCGGAATCGTTTCACCTGCAATAATACGTTTTCTAGTAACTACAGTAGCATCTGTTATTTGTTTAGCGAAGTCGGGACACATCCCTGTCCTTCATCACAGGCACGCAAAGCACGTGGAAGGCCTGGGGTCAAGTGGCCGTTTGCAATTAAAGAAAGTGCTGTCCACATGCAATCAAGCAACTCGTATCGCCAGCCAAAAGATTTGAGCTGGAAACCTTGGAGAGAAACTCTTGTCTGTGCGTGAATGTGTGTGTGTGTGTGTGTCGCCCCCTGGTCAAAGGGTTTCCTTTCTTGACCTCCACTGCCATTTGTTTCACTAGCAGGGGGTGCAAGCAGCCCATCCAGTCTTGCACCAACGAAGACACTGGATGCGTGCTGGTGATATCGATTTGGGACGCCAAATCGACGTACCTGCAGAGTTCTTCACACGCTGTTACTCCACTCTTCCACGGTTTGATTCCATGGTCCTTGCACGATAGACCCCAAAACCTTTTCCCACCGCAGACTTGCAGCAGACTTGCAGCCACACTGACTGTCAGAGTGCAAACATTGTTCAACCATACAGTTCTTGCCGACTTTTTCACCATGCCGTTCCATCACCTTCCTTCCCAACGTGGGAATTGAGATACCTGAATACAATTGTCAGAGTGTGTTTCGCTCAGCCGTCCCACTCGGGTGCTGAGTGTGATCCCCGTCATTGGGGCGCTGTTTCTTTGGGAAAGCATTCACTGAACTTACCACCGCTCACAGGAACTTCACTGGAACTCACCTACACTCCCACAGAATCAACCGCTACCATGGCCGCCGGGCCTTACCACGGGACCTGACCGTTTCAACATGCATCGTTTTTGTGCAAGATCTCAAGATCTCAATGCATTTTTCCGCCTGTTGTCTGCATGAGCGCTCAAGCGATCCGACTTGACTTTTAAACTTTTTAATTCGATATGCATGAACACACCAACACTTACTACACTCTACAGGCAAGACAACTCTCACAGCGCTGAAGTTGCTGCCGCCGAGCTAGTGAGGCTCTATGTCCAAGAAGGACACAACCACCAAGCCTGCCACCGGTTTTTGAAAAAGCGCCGACGACGGCGACCTGTGTGTGTGTGTCGCCCCCCTGGTCAAAGGGTTTCCTTTCTTGACCTCCACTGCCATTTGTTTCACTAGCAGGGGGCGCAAGCAGCCCATCCAGTCTTGCACCAACGAAGACACTGGATGCGTGCTGGTGATATCGATTTGGGACGCCAAATCGACGTACCTGCAGAGTTCTTCACACGCTGTTACTCCACTCTTCCACGGTTTGATTCCATGGTCCTTGCGCGATAGACCCCAAAACCTTTTCCCACCGCAGACTTGCAGCAGACTTGCAGCCACACTGACTGTCAGAGTGCAAACATTGTTCAACCATACAGTTCTTGCCGACTTTTTCACCATGCCGTTCCATCACCTTCCTTCCCAACGTGGGAATTGAGATACCTGAATACAATTGTCAGAGTGTGTAACCCGTGGAGTCACAGGAATCCCTTCAGGTTTGTTTTTCCTGTTTTGGTACTTGCAATTTTAAGCAAGGGCACACGGCATCCATGACCTACCGTGTGCAACGAAGCTACGGTCATGGATGGGATGGGAAGGCCGATCACCTTCCTGTACCTGCTTTGGTGCGATGCTCTAATCTTCCATAAAGGGCTAGTGCACTCCGCAGACAAAAGCGGCCGCCGTCACTTCGACCTGTTCGTCGTCTCGTGGAGTTGGACTTTTGGCCTTTATCTAAAAGTGCTCAGGCCCCCCCTTTCTCGACTTCTCGGGATTATGGTCACTTAGGTTGCTGTGTGGCATGTGGCATTCTGTTCAGCACGCATTTCCACAAGTGTGTCTGCCCCCTGTGGACCCGTCGAACGGGCGTTGTTCCAACGTATCCCCTGCTCGGATACAGAGCAGCTCGCAGCGCGCGTAAGCGGCTTAAGCCAAAGTTACTTGCCAAGACTTGACGGGTTATTGAGAACAAGTAGGCAGTCCTCAGACAAGCCTTGAGGTGACCGCAGCAGTCTCAAGCTGCCCGCCATTTTGGCATGGCACCAGGTGACCAGGGCGGTCAAAGTTTTTTAACGTCCATTGGGACCTGTCGTGTGCGTCAACTCCTGTTCCACAGGAATTCGGTCACAGTCGTACAGTTTAGCAGGGGGATGCCCCACACCTGAAGAGAGGG